GCAGTATCTCATATACATTCCTGGAAGCAGGCATTACCCTGTAACAAAACCAAAGAAGTATCCAATCAAAAAAGAGAATTACAGGCCAATCTCCCTAGTGAACATAAAATGCAATAATCCTCAATAAGATACTGACAAACAGAATCCAGAAAATCATCAAGAAGACTGATGAAGCAGGAGTCACCCCAGGGAAGTAGGAATGGTTCAACTTACACAAATCAATAAATTAATACACCATATTAACAGAGCCAAGGACAAAATACACATGATCATCTAAATAGATGCAGAAAAAGTATTTGACAAAGTCTAACACCCATTAATTATAAATCCCCTATAGAAAATTGGAAGTCTTTATCTCAATTTTATAAAAGCCATCTATGACAAACCAACAGCCAATATCATACTAAATGTACAAAAACTGAAAGCTTTCACTCTAAAATCAGGAACAAAACAAGGATGTCTAATACCACCACTCTTATTCAATATAGATCTGAAGGGCTGGGGATTTAGCTCACTGGTCCCATCACCTGCCTTCCAAGTACAAGGTACTGAGTTCAAGCCCCAGTACCAAAAAAAAAAAATCAATATATCCCTGAAAACATTAGCCAGAGCAATTAGACAAGAGAAAGAAATAACAGGAATAAGGATTGAAAAGGAGGAAGTTAAATGATCATTATTTGCATACTCTACATAGAAGACCCCAAAAACTCCATCAAAAGACTTCTAGATCTAATAACCAAATTCAGCAGTATATCTGGATACAAAGTCAATACTCAGAAGTCAACAGCCTTCTTACACACTCACCACACAAACTCACTGAGAGATAAATTAGAGAAACAGTATCTTTCACAATAGCATCCTCAAAACAATGAAATACCTAGGAATCAATCTAACATAGGATGTAAAAGACCTTTTCATGGAAAACTACAGTACTTGGAAAAGGGAGATCAAAGAAGATATCAGAAAATGAAAAGATATCCCTTGTTCTTGGGTAGGAAGAACCAATATAGTGAAAATGGCCATACTTCCAAAATTGTTATACAGATTTAATGCAACCCTCACCAAAAAAATACCAGAGCGTATCTCACAGAATTAGAGAAAACAATGCTAAAATTCATTTGGAACCCAAAGAGACCTAGAATAGCTAAAGCAATTCTGATCAACAAAAGGTGAAGAAGGGGGTATCGCAATCCCTGACTTCAAAATATACTACAGAGTAAATGCAATAAAAATGCATGGTACTGGAAAAATTCCAGAACCAAAGATCAGTGCAACAGATTTAAAAATGCAGAAACCAATCCTATCTCTGACAAAAGGGCTGAACACTGTCACTGGAAAAAAGATAGCCTCTTTAATAAATAGTACTGGAAAAACTGGCTTTTCACAAGCCAAAGATTACACTACACCCGTATCTTTCATCACGTACTAAACTAAAATCGAAATGGATCAACTATCTAAATGTTAAAATAGAAACAATAAATCTCCTGGAAGACAGAATAGGCAGAACTCTTGAAGACAGTGTAGGCAGACTTTATAAACAAAACCCTATCACCCAGGAAATATCAAAGAATCAACAACTGGGATCTCATCTTATTAAAAAGCTTTTGAACAGCAAAAGAAACTTCTAAGAGAGTGAAGAGTCAACCTACAGTGTGGGAAAAAAAAATTTGCCAACTAGTCCTCAAAGGATTAATACAATAGAATATACAAAGAACTCAAAAAAATCAGATCCCCCTCAAATTTAAAGACCCAATTCAAAGCTGAGCATCTGAAATGAATAGACACTTCTCAGACGAAGAAGTAGAAATGACAAGTAAATATATGAAAAATGTTCAGTATCACTGGTAATTAGAGAGATGCCAATTAAAACAACAATAAGATTCCATTTCACCCCAGAAAGAATGTCTATTATCAAGAAATCAACTAATAACAAATGCCGGTAGGGTTGTGTCGGCGCGGGGGGCATCTCCACTGGTGGTAGGAGTATAGACTGGTGCCACCACCATGGAAATCAGTGTGGAGAATTATTCAAAAACTAAAACTAGAGGTTCCATTAACCCAGATATTCCCCTTCTCAGTATCTTCCTGAAAGAATTAAAAGCATCATACTACATGGGGATGCATAAACAAGGCCCTGGGTTCGATGTGTGGCACCACACACACACACACACACACACACACACACGCAGCATCATACCACAGAAATATATAAAAACCCATGTTTAGAGCAGCACTTTTTGTAATAGCTAAACCTTAGAAACAGCACAATGCCAATCAACCAATAAATGGATAAAGAAGATGTGCTCTTTTTAATGCAATGGAGTACTATTCTGCCAAAAAGAAAGATAAGCTTGAGACACTTCTACCTAAATGGATGCACCTTGAGACCATATTCAAGTGAATAAACCAAACACAGGTTAAATACTACATTGCTTCTCTGGTATGAGGAAATCAACACTGTAAATGAGGACCAAAATGTAAAATACATATTAGGAAATGGGAAGAAAATGTTCAATGGGAAGGGGAACAAAGGAAGGGGAAGGGAAAATGAAGGATGAGAAGGAATAAAAGAGAAGAGAAGAAAAAAATGGAAATAAAGCTTTTGTAAGTAAGGAGGGGAAGAAGGGTTGAAGGGAGGGGAGGGGAATGGGGGAAAAAAAGAAGCAAGATATATCATGTACAGGTATAAATTCCCTACGATGAATGTTATTATTATGTCTATGTAAAATGCATCAATAAATATAGGTAAAGACAGGCACACATTTCTACATAAATAAACAGACAAACCAGGGCTCCTTGAAGAAATACTCCATTTTAGGATGAAGGCAGAGAAAGCACAGTAAATGTGGGACACCCTGTGCCAGAAAGCAAGGTAATGATCATAGAAAGATGCAACATATGAGAGGAAAAGAAAGCATGACTTCGCCAGCTTCTGGGAACTCTCTCTTCAAATTTGGGATGATGTAAACATGAAAAGAACAGCATAAATTACAATCCAATGAATTTTTAAAGTGTGTGCATGTGTGTGTGTGTGTGTATATATATAGGTATATATATTAGAGAGAGAGGACAAAGAGTTTATAGTGCTAACACTAAGTGGGGGGTGCAACTGCAAGGGCTCTTTATCACAAAAAAAATGTCAGGTAATAAATACAACTGGTTAGAAATCAATGATTTGAAAACACCAATATACCAACTGATTTAGGCAAGGATAATCTATGATAAAAGGCTGCTAGGGAACAGAATATTTATACTGTCTTGTATTACTGCCATTTAAAGTACTGGAATACAGCTGGGCATGGTAGCACATGCTTGTAATCCCAGCATTCGGGAAGCTGAGGCAGGAGGATCACTCTGAGTTCAAGACCAGCCTGAGCTACATAGTGAGTTCCAGGTCAGTCTCAACTACATGGTGAGACCCTGTCTCAAAAAATAAATAAATAAATAAATAAATAAGTACACACTGGAATAAAGTGACACTGTATCTTTTGATGTGATGCACTGGTGAGTTACCATCACCTATGCAGAATTTTTGCCAAAACTGCTTCACTTTGTTTCTTCATGATTACATTCTTTAGACATCTCCAAATTGTGAGACATTCTATAAGAAAACTGACCTTATCTCTTGAAAAATGTCAAATTTTATAGACAAAAAACAGAAGTAAAATTATTTTAGATGAAAACAGACTAAACAGATAATACTGTACTGCAGCCAAATGCAATGGTGATCTTTGACTGGATCATGGATTGAAAAAGGAGTTGGAAAGAATAATCTTAGAAAAGCTGAAAAAAAATTTTTGGTTTTTGTTTTTGTTTTTGTTTTATTTTTATTTTGGAGACAAGGTCTCACTATGTAGAGACTGACCTGGAGCTCACTATGTAGCCCAAACTCACAGCAATCCTCCTGTCTCAGCCTCCCCAGTGCTGGGATTACAGGCATGTGCCACCACGCCCAGCAGAAAAACTGAAAATTTCTAATTTGTTATTTGTCAATGTTAATATCTTGGGGCTGGAAAAAATGTATTATAGTTTACAGGAGAATGACCTTGTTCTAAAATGACATGCACTCAAGTATTAAGAATCTGATATCTATAATTTATTTCCAAATGGTTCAGCAGGGGAAAAAAACACAATAGAAGGAAAAGAAAAGCAAACAGGACAGTTGATGTCTCTAAACAAAGAATGTTCATCACATTTTTCCTTCCAATTTTCTATAGTTTTATAATTTTTTCAAAAGAAACAATTATGCTTTAAGGAAAAAAAGAATGCGTTATAACAGATTTTTAAAAACAATTTAAAATCTGGAGATGAAAGCAAATGATACAAGTTAACAGATTTCCAAATCCAAACTGAAAATATGAGGTGAAAAATAAAATCATATATTACGATTAAAGCATAGATTCTATGTCCCTCCTTCCCTCTCGCCCTGTTTCCCAGGACCATTCTTGTCTTCTGTTCCAATCTTAAGAAGCCTAACACTTGAAAACAGGGTTTTACTTCCAAAAGACTTAAACCACAGTTGTTTTACTCATGTCTCTTTAACTAGAATGACACTGAGTGTTGAGCTGTTCTAAAAGGAAATATAACCTATAAACAGTGAATTCTGAAACCTCACCTACTTATAAAATGAAATGTACCTTAGGCTATACAAACAAACATGTTCTTGCAAATCTGCCACTCTTAAAAAATAAGGTGGGAAGGAGGAACTTCACCATAAGATCAAATTAACTTTTTTCAATAAATTACCTATAATTCAATTTAATAAGCATTTTCTAAAATTCAACACCTCGGGCTGGGGATTTAGTTCAATGGCACTGCACCTGTCTCACCAACTCAAGGTCCTAAGTTAGATCCCCCATACCAAAAAAATAAAATAAAATCCAACACCTTTTCATAAAAACTTAGCATATTTATATTAAGAAAATTTCCTTTACCTGATAAAAGTATTTTAAAATTTCACAGTAAATATTATTTTTAATGATGAATTTATGAACATTTACCTGACAGCCACTATCACTACTTCCATTCAGCTTTGTACTAGACATCCCAACAAGCACAAAAGAAAAAGAAATACAAACCAAAAGGACTGAAACAGGTAAAATAAAATAATCTTGAGGAACCACAACTATTCTCACACTGCCAGGTATCAAGATAACTTGTAAAACCACAATGATTAACACAATAGACAAGGCAATAAAACAGAGTTGAGAACTCATACAGTCACTGGGTTTATGACAACAATGACAATGCAACAAGAACATGACAGTCTTTCCAAAAACTATGAAGAGGCAACTAGACACCCAATACGGTAAAAATGAAATTGCCTCAATCGTACTGTATATAAAATCAATTCCAGACAGAACATATATCACAATATAGTAGGTTAGTTTGGTTACTGAGTAGACACAGAGTCCCGATGATAATAAAAATAAAATAAAATATGCCTCTCATGTTAAGAGCTAATTTAACAGCTAAGCCAAGCTTAGTGATACAAAGATAAACACAAAAACAAAGGATAAAAGGTTGAGATAAAAAGAGAGATAAGGACTTTTCGCTCCAGGAAGTTGCTCCCTGAGTACGCAGACCTAGGCTTTAAAAAAAGCAAGACAGAGTGAAGGGAGGGCAGGGGAATGGGGAAAAAATAAAAACCAAGACATATCATGTAAATGTACAAGATCCCTATGATGAATGTAACTGTACTGTATACCTGAAATGTACCAATAAACCTAAAGAAGGGAAAAAAAAAAGCAAGATAACCAATTTCACTCTTGAACTCATCTGCTTTAAAGTGTCTCCCAAGTCCTTCCCGCCCATCTATGTTAGACCAAGACAAAGACCCCTGATTGGACTTCTTTCTCCTCTTGGTGGGAATCAGTCAAGAGCTTTTTTCTTATTATTATTTCTAATAAACACTCCCCCAAATTCCTTTTTGTTCTCAAATTTATTCTTCAGTTTTCAGATACAAAAAAAACTCAGGTTTGCACAAAATTAACTGTTTCATCAATGCAAGGGAAGGCAATAAAACTTCTAGAAGATAACATAAGGATGCGTTCAAAACATTCACAAGGACTTCTTAAAAACAGGGCAGAAGGGCCAGGGGTTTAGCTCAGTGGCACCGTGCCTGCCTCGCAAGAGCAAGGTCCTGAGTCCGATCCCCAGTACCACCACCAAAAAAAAAAAAAAAATACAAAAAAACAGGAGAGGGCTGGAGATACAGCTCCATAGCAGAGCACTCGCTAGCATGCATGAAGCCCTGGTTCCATCCCCAGCACAGGAGGAGGAGGGCAGAGGAGGAGGAGGAGGAGGAAGAAGAAGGGAAGGAAGGCCCACCAGCCATAAAGAATATAATCAAAATTAAGAATTTCAGTTTAACAAAGACACCATTATCACATGTCAACTCAAACTCCCCTCCCAAGTAGGGAAGAAATTTACAATCAGTAACTGAAAAGTACCCATATCAAAAATACACAAAAAAAACTACTATCAGTAAACCAGAACGTGGCAAATACCCCAAGTAAAAATGGACAAGAATTCAGCAGGGATTTTATTAAAAATACAAACAGCCAATAAGCACTAGAAAAGGTCATCAACCTCATCAGTTACTACTAGAATGGTCAGCAAATATGAAAAGGACAGACAACACCAAGTAGTGTTAAGAATGTGAAGTAGCTAGCTGGACCCTTCACCACTACTGGCAGGAGTTGTAAACTGGTATAACTACTTTGGAAAACAGCATTATAAGTAAAGCTGAAGATATGAATATCCCCTGAGAAAATTCCAGGCAAAAGCTAGAAGCAAAGTATTCAACTGAAAAAAATTAAATGAAACTGTGATAAATATTCCCTCCCTGACTGCTTATGTAAGAGGCATTCCTTAGAATTCTTTTGCCTTCTTTGATTTACCTGGTCTTATCTATCACATATCATCAGACATTTTAAACGCACCTAATACATGTGTTCATACTAGTGCAATCTCCATGAAAGCAAGCCCTTGCTCTAGTTTGTTCATTACTGCATGCTAGCAGAACATGCACAGTATACTCAGTAAATGCACTGAATAAATTTTATGACTTGGTTCCCAACTTGAAGGAAGCAGCTGTTGAATAAAGTATATGGCTAACAGTTCCTTAAACTATCTGGTTTAGTTTATCATGATAAATATGAGCAGCCTCCAACTAAGTTAGCAGTTCTACTTTACAAATAATTTAAAATACTTCTAATGCATTTAATTCTTCAATGTTCTATTATCAGGAAAGTGTAAACTAATTCAAAATTCAAAATAAGAATTACATTAGGCACACAATAATAAAGAAATTGTCCTAATGAGTTTTCCAATCTTACTATTATCCTACAAATAAACTTATGAAAACATACTATATTCCACTTTTTTCATAGCATAATAAAATCTTCAGTTCAAACTGAAAAAAAAAAAAACACTATCTGGAGATATAAAAGATATCCTAGAAATAAATATCACCTTAGCCAAGAAACCAAAATTCAACATAATGCAATTCTCCAATTCTTTTGGGTGGGGAGGTACCAGAGATTGAACTCAGGACCTTGCGCTTTCGAGGCAGGTGCAGTGCTGCTGAGTTAAATCCCCCGGCAACATAATTCAATTAATTGTAAGACAGAATCCAATTTAATATGATCTCAGTACAAGAAAACTACTAAGAACAGCCCAAGACTTTCCTCAACATTCCTACATGGTGTACTTTATGGCATAGAGCAGTCTATACAGGCTCCTAAATAGCTTACTTTTTTAAAAAATCAAATACTGTAGTTTAATGCTGTTGAAAAAAGAAAAAAGATTTAGTTTTAAAAGATGATCCAAGCCAGGCATGGTGGCACACACCTGTAATCCCAGCACTTGGAGGCTGAGGCAGGAGAATCACTGTGAGTTCAAGACCAGCCTGGGCTACACAGTGAGTTCCAGGTCAGTCTCAACTACATAGTGAGACCCTGTCACAAAACAAAACAAAACAGATGATCTAAGTTTTCCTCTTCTTGCATCTTCTGTCAGACAATAAAGATTAAACAAATCTTTGAAGGGGAATAAAAGAAATGAACTAGGAAATGTTTCAATAAATTATATCTGCTGTGGAGTAACTAAGAAATAAACCTGCCTAACTACTGTTCCCACCAGCCAAGGCATTTTTCAGGCTCAGAAAGTATTTAGCAATTAAAGATACTGTACATCATCCAAATTTACATAAAAAATTAAAATAAATCTTACCAACATCCTTTATTGAAAAACTAAAATCTCACCCAACTGCACAAACCTTTAGGTAAAATGAAGTTGTGCTTTAAAACAACGGTATATTTTCTTATACAAATACATGTGAATATTTATACATATATAACTGGAACCATGCTATACACAACATTCTACAGTTTTTAATGCCTACATCATAAGCTAATCATTATGTTTCACAAGTTAATCAATCCCCTAGTGTCAGATCTTTACTTCTTTTCATTATTATAAACAAGGCTACAGAGAACTTTTATGACTTTTTGCTAGATCAAAAAAGGAATAAACCAAAGTCTGAACTAATAAAAAGGTTTCTTGAAAATGTTTTAGCATTGATTCTAGACGTGAAAGTGAAAACTATAAAAATAAGTGATCCTGTACGTTTACTTCTAAAGCTGTGGTTGTGTTCTTAATTGTGGTTGTGGTTCATTCATGCCCCTTGTTTTCCCTTAAGTTGCCAATTTTGTATGCTTTTTATTCAGTGCTAGAGCAGATGAACAAGAAAAAAACAGGGAGAGATATCATGGTAAAACTTGCTATACTCCTTGCCACAATTAGAAAAAAAAAAAATTATGAGCAACATTTAAACCACATTACTATCCAGCAGCCCTTCTCAACATAATTCAAGGTTCCCACAGAAAACTATGACCCCTAAGCCTATCATTGTATGCTATGAATTCATTTCTCTCTTCTACATCTAGAGTCAGTTAGCTAGGGCCCATCTCAGGGAAAACTGAGAAAATGGTCATTCAAGCCCTTTTCTTCAGTGTTTCATTCTCTCTGAGGGAACCTACAATGGGAAAAGCCTTATATAAAGGAACATTAACTGACACACTAATGATATACTATGAAAAATTTCTTTTTACATTCTGAATGTCATCACACTTCTATTTTGGTACTAATGTCCAATACATACTCTCAAAACTGAATTGGCTTTAAATCCTAAAGTTCCTCACAAACATATTTCTCACTATTTACCTGATAACCTTCTTGTATTAAACTATAATTAAAGCATAGTCATCTAACCAGTAGATTTTATGACCTTATGGGTCCCCTGTCCACTAAAGCAGATCCTTCTATTAATCTCTTTACTGAGGGGAGGAAGCAGGAATTTTACTACCCATGACAGATATGAATGCCTATTTTATGTGCCAAAGTAACATTAACACAACACAGACAAATAATTTGGTATTATGGTCAATATCCACTGAAGCAAGTGTTCAGTTTCCCACTGTACTGTAACTGCAAAGCAGTTTCTTTCTTCCAATGTAAGCGGACACCATAACATCAAGCTGTTCAGAGCACCCCAAAAAGTATCCTTCGTATTTCAGCCACACAGACATTTGAATAAAACCAAGGACATCTCTTAAAGATGCCGAATAAGTGAAAACTTATCAACCAGAATTATACACACACTGTTACCAAAAAGGTGAAAGTAATTCCACCATAGATTACAGGCAAAGGAAACACTATCTTCTGAAGGTCTGTTTCACATTTTCTGCTTAACAACAAAAATGTAAATAGTTTGTCAAAAGGGAACAAGTTTTCAGGACGGTCTAACTCTTCTTTTCTTTTCAATTTTCTCTTTAAAAAAAGATGAATTAATGTCATAATTTAAACACACTAAATGAGGTGAATTTTTAAAGCTCCCACCTTGCAAAGAAGTCACCAAGTTTAAAAACCAAAATTAAATGATACTAGGAAAAACTATGGCTCCCAAAAGGAAATCTAATGCAAAAAATAACTGAGCCAATCTAAACCAAGTAGGAAAGATTCCCTCAGTTTACCCCAACAG